ATTTGTTAGGTTGTTGTTTTTTTAGTTATTTAGGTACTTTCAGAAGCCCTAACAGTCTCATGACAGGGCACTCTGGAAAAACACTAAGGAATGAGGTTTGAACTACCTGGCTAAGGTAGTTCAAAACTCATTCATTACCAATGGATTGGTAGGTAATAAAGTGTGAACTTCCTGGTTAAAATCTAGCCAAATTATTTTAAATTCGATCCAAATGTAGATTTTTTATGTATTGATAGAATAGACTTTAATCCTACTACACTAAATAGTTTAAAGTCATCAATAGATTTTGTTTGGGGAACTAAATCATTATTATGACTCATTTTAATTAGATTTTTTGCATATGTTTTAACGGCGATAATTGGTTTGTTTACTCAAAATTTTGTATTTTGTTTTTTCTCGTGTATATACTTTGCATAACTAAAGTTTGAAAACTGTGTGATTTAGAGGGGGTTCAATTCCATTTATGGTCATTACTCCAAAATGCAAAGAAAAAAAATTGAATAAACTTAAATTTTTTTTTATAAATTTTGGTTTATATAGGACTGCAAAAAAAAAAAATTTTTTCAAGTATTTTTCTGGATGGGGTTAAAAAGGGTAAATACATTAGGGTAATTCTGTTAAAAAAAAAAAAAAAACGACGCAAAACTTTTGAAATTTTTTTTTTAATTTTGCTGCCAAATGTTATTACTAATTGATGTCAAATGTAAATAAAAATAAACAATTGGCATCAGACTATGGTAATTACAAAAAATTTTGGAAAATCTGATCACTTTTTAAGTTATTCCAATTTTGTTTATATGATATCACACTTGAGCTTTTATTTTCAGGTTTAAGGTTAATTCAAAACCTATCATATGATAAGTTTTTAATTAACCTCAAATGTAATAATGAAAGTAAACAAGTGGCATCAGATTGTGGTAATTTAACAATAATTTGGAAAAATCTTTAATTCAACCCTTGAACCATTGAATTGTTGTTCGTAATTGATAATAATCAGTAAAAGTTGGATTAATATTAAATGTGAATTGAAAACATTCAAAAAAAAATATTTTGATGCAAGAAAATAGTCTGCCTTATTAAAAAATTTAAAGAAATAAATCATGATGACAAATAATGACAAAAAAGTCAGGTAGAACACAAGACTGTAGAAGTTCTGTATGTTTATTATGTATGAGAAAAGGTGACAAATTTTATTTTAAAAAATGGTTCATTCTTTCATTTTTTCTTTAACTTATTCATAACAAGCTTAGCTAGGTCATTAATTCACTCAAAGTTAAGCCAAAAAATTAAAAAATGTATTAAGCCAAAAAAGTTGTATTTGTAATTGATATTAAGCAAATAGTTTTCATAAATAGTATTCAGTATAATTATATAACAAATCATTTTTTTGCTTTAATATCGTTTTTTTTTTTTTTTTTTTTTTTTTTTTTTGTTTTAGGATAGTTTATATGAATAAAATATTTTTATTAAACTTTTATATTACTTAGTTTTGTTTTATTTAGTTTCACAAAAGTTTCTACCCAGTTTTTTAAAATTATAATTAGTATAAATAAATGTGATTGTCTTATTTTTAATAATTATCTTTTGGTTACTGATGTTACGAGGAAAAAAGTGCAAAATAAATGTAGTAATAGTTATAAGCAAAGAACGAAGCTCCTAAAATATCATTGCCAATTCCAAACATTCGAAAAAATATATTTTAATGCAAGAAAATAGTCTGCCTTAAAATTAAAAAATTTAAAAGGCTGTAGTGTTCTGTATGTTTATTATGTATGAGAAAAGGTGACAGATATTTAAATGATTTTATTATTATAAGAGTTCAAAAGTTTTTAAATAATGACATAAATCATGCAGATAAGCAAGTGCCAGTTGGTATTTGCAACTCATGTTGAATTATTTCACAAAAAAAAGATGCTGGTGATATTACATATTCATTGCCGCCTTTATACAATTTCTCTACGGTAGTTATCAAGCCTTTTACACAAACTTCTAATGCATGTGATTGTCTTATTTGCCAAATTGGAAAGCTTAAATTTAATGAAAAGTATCCTTTAGGACTAAAAACACACTATATAAATCCCAAAGATAGCACATCTTGCAAGCCTGAAACCTTTTCAAATCTTTCTTTTCTGTCAACAGAAAAAAAAGATGTACACATTGTCAATTATAGGTTGAGGTTTCAATCATTCCTGCATGATCGTAATAAGGTGCCAAAACTTGCAAGAATTGGTCAAGGAAGATCAAGTTGGAGCAGAGCAAATTGCATCTGCTGTGGTTAAGCAAAAGATTTTCCACCTGAGAAAAATATTATAATTAAATATTTAAAGTTCAACAATATTTAGCAATATTTATTTACATTTCTACTTATTATTACTTTTATTTTATACAGTTTGAAAGCTATTGATCTTATTATGTTTTTTTAGTCCCACAATCTGCACTAAAATCAAAAAGCCATATACTTTCAGCACAAATGTGCAGTTAAATACTGAACTATCTAACACTGGAATCGGAAAATTTGCTTCAACTTTCAACAAAGCAACAGGAACTCGACTGGTAGAAAAAGGTTTCAAACAAAAATTTAATGCTGGCAGAAAAACAAGTTAACATTCAGTTGTCAATTTTGCAACTAGAAAGAGAGAAACTGAAGAACAAAAACATGTTGTTCACTGCAAAATTTTGGAGAATTTAAATAAGAATGTGCTGTTGGACAGATTACAACCATTTTGTCAAACTTGGAATTGATCGCCGAGGATCTTTTTTGAAAATGAGCTTTGCTGTTATTAAAATAACTGACGAGAGTAACGAAATAAGTAGTTCTCATAAAATAAAACGTCACATGCTATCAAATTCAATATCTCTAAACGCAGGTGTTAAACATCAGCTTATTGCTGCCATTATTGAAAATCTACCAGCAACATGCGAGAATGTCATAGCATTAATAAATATTATTCAAATGAATGAAACAGCATTTTGCACTTAATGTGATTTTTAAATGTCAAATATTATTTGTGGAATTCCCATCCACAAATAATATTTGACATATCCACAAATAATATTTGAAATCCCATTTAAGCAAACATTCTTGCTGCTGGTGCAATGATGTCAATTCCGACAATCAGAATGTGGATCTCTAAAATCTTTTAGCATATTGAAAGAAAGATATGCCGAGTTTGTTGCTAATGGCTCATTTGAACTATTCAAAAAAAATTTTAAAAGTAATCCATTCATCATTGATCAATATGGACAACTCAGTGCTCAATTTAGATGTTATTCTGTCAATGGAACTTCATCATCTTCTTAGAATTGTTAATCGTCTTTTCAAAAATCTTTCAGACTTGTGGCCTGGAACCAAATAATGGCTAGCTAAGTTGCACATTCAGCTCCAACCTTACCATGGCGAACACTTCAAAAGCGATGATTGCCGTAAGTTTTTAAAAAGCTTTCTCCAAAGAATGAAAGAAAGCCTGTGCTTATGAAGTCTTTGGTTTTATTGAAACTCTGAGACATTTCAAAGAAGTTGTTTCTACATGTTTTGAAACAACGCTAAAGGAAAGCTTTAGGACTGAAATTAAAAAATTCAAAACATCTTTCCTATTTTTACCAATATCGTTCACACCAAAGGTTTATCCTGTCTTCTACCACGTTTAAGAATTTGTGTTAAAGCGCCAATCTTCACTTGGAAACTTTAGTAAACATGCAACTGAAACATTGCACTTAAAATTTAATGCTCATTGGGAAAAATACAAGCACTGCTCTGATCATCCAGAATATGGAAAACAACTTTTTAATTGTGTTGTTGACTATAATAGCAACCATAAAAAATGTACCATAGAAAATTAAAGTATTGTATGAAAGTACATGATAGTATTAAAAACTAAAATGTTAACTTAAATCTGTAAAAAATACTGTTTCTTTTCTCTAGTATTCCACATCTCTTGCTATGCTACGCTATGGTATCTGTATATTTTTGGCTATATATATAGTTTATGCTCATACAAATATTTTCAAGGAAGTAGAAAAATTATTATAGGTAGAAATCTGTAGAGAACTAATCTCGACCTTTTGAGTACTTTAGATGTGTTGTTTTTGAAATGTTTTAGTTTTGAAAAAGTTAAATTTAGATTTTAAACATTGAATCATATTTTTTTTAATGTTTAATACAATAAGTTTTTGGAACAACATTATTTGGCATTTTTACAAAACACGACAATTTATTTTGTCTTCTTGAACCTTATCTACGAAAATAGTTATTTTTAGAAAAAAAAATTAAGTTTAATCAATTTTTGTTTCAGTGTTTTAGAGTTATGACAACGTAATGAATTGAACTCCCTCATTTTGAGGGGGTTGTAAATTTTACATTGTCACCGTTTCTAAACACCAAGAGTATTTTTAATAAAATTTGAAATATATAAAAGAGCTTTAAAAAAAAAAAAGGTCTACCATAAAACAACGTTTTTTTTTTTTTATTATTATAAAAATAATGTTTTTCTTTCAAGTGGAAAAATTATTAGGGTAATTTTTTCCCCGAGTTCTGATTGCCGTAATTCTTTATAAACTATACTCATTTTATTTCATTTTGAAGATATAAAAGTTTTGAGTTTATTCTATGTTTGGAAGTTGACCATTTCGAACACAAAAAATCCGCAATCCACCTATTAAAATGCATATTCTGGCTCTGACAAAATTAAAAGATTTTTAAAACACCTTTGTACTCATAAGGTCTATATAATGTCTCCATAGAAGGATTTCGTTGGTACTTACAGATAAGGTTGATCTTGAATTAGACAGGTTGTGAAGTGATTTAAAAATTTGCATATGTTTTGTTTGTGCATGAAAATGGAAGTTGACCCTTAAATTTTTTATACCTAGTCTCTTACTAAACAAAGTTATTTGTGTAGATATTAATTTGTATTAACTACTATTAATCTGTATATATTTTAATTTCTATATGTTTTTATTAATTTGTATTAGTTATTACTATATTATTTTTACTTTCTTAGCTACATGCACCTATTATTAAAGAAAAAGTTGAAAAGTTCGATGTAGAAAATTCCACTTAGAGTTTTCGAATTCATCTAATCTAGCTGTTATACCATAGTGTAACTATTTATACCATAGTGTAAAAATTATTTGATTCTGTACGTGTATGATTTAATATGTATTTTTAATTTCAAGTTATTATAATGTATATAAGAGTTATAATTTTATGTCATGAACAATGATTGAAATTAATCTTATTTAGATTAATGACACCCACACTGGGTGTGACACACTGTAATAAAAACAAAGAGAGTCAAATTTTAATTTAAAGAATTTTAAATATAAAAAGTTAGACAACTTATTTTAACTTTTTTTTTAATTGTTTTTTTTTTAAATTTTTAATTTTTAAAATTGCAGATCTTTATTTTTTTAGGAAAATTTTAGTTTTTTAAACTTGTGTCAAACTTTAGGCATTACAGTGCTACACTCTTAAAAAAATAGCAATTTCTATTGGCCATTCTAAACAGCAATTTCTACTATAGGGAGAATATACGAATACCCTTAGTAAGGTATTATTTTCAACCTTGTATAAGGCATCCTATACAAGGTTGAAAATAATACCTTATAAGAATTAAAAATACCTTAAAATAATTACCTTATAAAGTACGCACGCAGTTAAGCCACTAATTTAAGAGATTCTTCCTCTTTGTACGCACATGTATGTTTTCAACGAAGCCCACCCTCTCTCTCAAAATAATGATTTTTTAAACTCGTAAAATTCAATGCTAAGAGAGATAGTCAAACCGCGTACAAACTCGCTGTCTTAAACACCCTCTCCCTCTTGTACGCATTCGTACTTTTTTAGTAACCTTCTATAGAAGACCCTGGTAAAAAATTATATTACCAATAACTATTTATACAATTTTTGACCTTTTAAATAATTTTCTATATTTAAGGTCAAAAATCGTATGATAAATGATTGTAATATAATGTAGGAAATTATACCTTATTAAGAGGGTAGTACAATAATTAAAATTGAAAAAATCATTTTTTCAAAAATTCATGTTTATATCAATAAAATTATGATTTTATGAAAATTATGAAAATAATTTTTTCTGGGATTACAAAAAAAACTTTGGTATCATGAAAGTGATTCAGTATCATTTTTTATCCATAGCAACGTTTTGATTTCTCCGTTTCTACGCATTTTTGAAATTTAATAAAAACACCTTTAAGCCCGTTCCTCCATTCAGAACTTTTTGCGCTTTGGAGGAGCGGAAAAGTTCTTTGAGCATGCGCAAAAAGTTCTGATTGGAGAACGGGCTTAAAAAAACTGTTTGCGCATGCTCAAAGATCTTTTCCGCTTCTCTAAAGCGCAAAAAGTTCTGAATGGAGAACTGACTGTATTAAACAGTACATGTTTTTTTTTATATAAGCATAACGTTTATAAGCATATGGAGGCTCAGATTTGGAAAAAAAATAAGCATACGTAAGCATATTCCTGAGCCTCGATAAACCATTTAAAAAATTCAAATTTTATTTATTTTATTATTTTAAATTTTATTTATTTTATTATTAAATTGATAACATTTGTATGTAGTATATATTTTTTATTATACTGAACTAAAGTCGACTTTTTATTTTTTTTATAACCATTAACCTTTAGTAACGCACATATTTTTAGAAAATATTGAAATAAGCATATTTTATTATAAATATGCTTAAGTTTAAGCATATTTTTGAGCCTCTTAACTTTTTGCTTAAGCATACCCGAGCCTGTTTCAAAAATTTCATATGCTTATTAAAAAAAAAAAAACATGTACTGTTATACACCTATTGCTTCTTCTTTATTGACTTGATTTATGTGTGTTCATTGCGCAGAAGACAGCTGTTTTACTACTTTATGATCTTATCAGGGTTATTGTGTTTTTTTAATATCTTGTTTAAATAAAAGTGCCATGTATGAATCAAAAAGAAAAATATTTTCAAAAAAGCTTTACCAAATTTAAATCATAGTTTCATAAAAACAGTGATAAAAGCGTTTACATTTTTAAAGAAACCACTGCTATACTTTCAGACTGAAGTTCAATTGAAAATATTCCAGACTCATCTTCCTTCAACAAGTTGTCGAACAAAGAAGTTATACAGGATTTTTTAAATACAAATGAAGATTTAAACTTTTTTTATGAGATTTATTTTATCTTTAAACAATGTTATGCTTTTTAATGTATAGAATGTAAAGATTTAGTAAAATTACAATTTGATTCTTCTAAAAATGTAAGCCTAGAAACTAGATAACTGTTGGTATTGGACTATGAAACTTGTTGCAATAGTTGTTAATGTGATACTATGTATTTATTTATCAACTACAACTGCTAAAAAGAACTCTTATGCAAAACATACCCGACGGGCATTTGTTTTTAAAAGTTACGATCTAAATGTATTTTAAATGTGTTTTAAACCTCTTTTAAACATTAATGTTTAAAAGACGTTTAAAACACATTTAGAACGTAACTTTTAAAAACAAATGCCCGTCGGGTAGTTAAAGAATCTAATTAAAGGTGTGTTTGACCACTTGGCATAAACCCTAATGTTGTAGCATTTTGTGGAAAGGGTAAAAGATTGTCATCAGTTTTGTATGTGCATCAAAAGGGTAATGGTACAAATTTTATTCTAAAAAATTGGCTGGACAAATTACATTTAATTTTTTTTATTCTAGCTGTTGTGTACGATATCAAACCAATAATTATTGTCAACTCTTCTGATAACTTTCCTGGAAAATGTTTACATGGAAAAAAACAGAGTTCCAAGATCCAGAGTTTCCAAATTAAATTATACGACATGTTTAAACTCTATACATTTGAAAGAACTGCTCTAAGTATTTAAGTAGGATCAGCTGTTCCAAATTCTATGATGGACATCAATTTTTAAATAACTTTTTTAATGAGTTTGTAATAACAATTAGTAATAATCGGCATAATTGTAGTTTATGTAAGGACACCAAACAAGTCGCGGAAGCAGAAAAGCAATGTAAACATAAAACAAAATCGAGAAAATAAATGTTATTAGAGATACAAAATAGTTTTTGTGATCAAAATAGAACATTAGTTAGTATAATTTAAAAAAGTGAAGATTTTTGAACTTAGTTTGTTTCCTTTCTTTTTTTACTTGCGTTTTTCTCAAAATCATGTTTTTTAGACTGGCAACGGAGATATTTTCAAAACTAATTATTAAATTAATTTGAAATTTGGCCCAATTATTTATTGCCAAGTATTTACAACACACACTAGAATAATCATTACTGCTTCTCTCGTTTAGTATTTTTTAAATATTTTGTATCCTTAAATTACCCCATTTTTGCCCAAATTTACAAAAATGCTGACATTTTATCGAGTTTTGGACCTAACTTAAATCTTTTAGTCCACGACACATATAGTAATATATCACTAGCCAAAATTTATAAATGGTTGCTTAAAACTTTTGTCGCCCTTTACCCCATTTTTTTGACCTTTAATTATAAATTATAAATTAATAAATAATAATCAAAAAAAAAAAATTCAAATTTTTTAAATTTTTTTAGTATTTACTAGTATATTATACAATATGAGAGAAAAAAAACATTTTTTTCAAAAAAATGTTTTTTTTCTCTCATATTGTATAATATACTAATAAACAAAAAAAAGTTGAATACAAACTTTTTTTCTAATTACTGTACCACCTTAAGGTTATATTACATATCCTACCCTTAAGTTGAAATTTCTAATCTTTTTTTAAAGTCTAGAAAGCAAAACCTCTATTATAACAAAAAAAGGTCAAAAACCTTAGATATTGTTAATTTGTTTATACCACCTCGATTATTTGATAAAAATGTTAGTTATATTTTTGAATTTAAGTAATAAAAATAGAGGTAAAATTTTTTTAATGAAATTAGCTACTAATTACTAATATAATCTGCTTAACATTCAGTTTGAATCAGTTAGCAAGGTAAAAAAAAAAGTTATTATTTTGCATTGTAAATCTGAGACCATAAGCAGAAAGAACATAGCGAAAATTGTTTTATTATTATCTTTAGCATAATTCCAGTCCTCTATCATTTGAATAATAACATACATTGTACAACGTTCTGGAAAGAAATGAAACTGTTTGTTTAAGATCCATATGTATTTGGTGTGATCAATGCTAGCGCGAACGAGTGCGGGACGACTCCTAATCTTAGTTCACAAAATCTCGTATTTCATCTCAAAAATTAGGCTACAGAGACTTCTGGAGAATCTTTAACAGTATCTATAATAAGAGTAAATCTTTTATTCCACTTTTCTTGAATTGTTCAGATTTTTTTTACCTCACCTAAAGACAAAGCTGAATTGTTTGCTAAGAACTTTTCATCAGTCTCATTTTTTGATTTCACAAATCCCATCCTACCTGATATAGCTAACAAATAAGATGATCCATTGCTTGACATTCATATCACTCCAGCTTCTGTATTTAAAATGATTTTCTGCTTAAAATCTTTTACAACTTATGATACGGACAATATACCTGCCATAGTCTTGCAGAAGTGTTCTCCGGAGCTGTTGTCTATATTCTCAAAACTATTTAACAAAGGCTTATCAAAATCTTGTTTTCCAGTCTGCTGGAAAGCGGCATCTGTTCCCTATGATCCCTATTTCTATTAATTCTGGAGAGCGATCTGGCTCTTCTAACTACCGTCCCATTAGTCTTCTTCCTATCATAAGCAAAGATTTTGAATCTTTGATTAACAAAAACGTTAGCTCTTATTTTGAATCTAATAAATTTCTTTCTGATCATCAATATTTTTGATTTTTTGTTCTACTGCTGGTTTGTTAACGGTAATAACTGATAGGTTTTATCATGGAAGTGTAAAACAGATGGAAGTTCAACCGCATTAAAATACTTCGAGACTATGCTTGTAACCTTTCGTTTCGTAAACAATAAGAAAACGACTTCAAGACTGCACTTAAACGTTATTTATAAACTTCATATTAAATGAATGGAGCATTACAAGAATAAATGGAATTATGATATACAGTTAATGAAACTTTAAGCTTTAGTAATTTAGGAAACATTTATTTTGATTTTTCAAAAGTTGTTTCAGTTGTCTTTTTAATCAAATGCCATGTTGTGATTTGAAACAATAAAAGGAGCTTAAAGTAACATATGCTTTTAAAATAAAGTGATTCTATTTAA